ACACACAAATAGAGGTAGATGTTTTTTTTTTTTTTTGCATGTTCCATGATTTTTCAAAGTTTCTGTTTCACTCTCTCTCGTTTTTAACCATTTTCAAAAATCATGTTTTTTCATTGGGCATTCCAATTAATCTCAATCAAACTGCAGTTGGGTTATTTTGATAAAATAACCAAAAATAAAAAATAAAAAAATACAGCTAACTAACACAATAAAACAAAATAAAAACGTGATAACGTAATAAAAAATATGATTTTTGAAAATGTAAAAAAACCCGGAGTTATCTGTTTTTGCACATATTGTGATATTTTAGTAGTTTTGACAAAACGGCATGGCAAGATCTCAAAATGTATATTACATTTTAACAAACAAAATGAATGTAATTTTGTTAACATGATAATAACTTACTGTCAGATGATTTGAACAGAATCGTAGCAGAGTTGCTCCCGTCATTAAATTGCACGAAGCAGTCACCTCCTTGAGATTTCTTACTCTGAAAGTAAATCTGAAGTTTATTTTTCACACCTTTAGCATTTTTAGCCTGCCAGTTTCCTTCTACAATGATGGGATAATATTCGTCCATTGTGATTTTTCTGCTTAATGAGGAAATGGCTTGCGAGTCACTGTATATAGATGAATCACGCCCTAATCTTTATTTTCACTTTTGTTTCCGCGTAAAGTAAACTTACTCTGGGTGTCGCCGGTTTTTTTTTTTAAATGCTTAACTTACTATAGGCTACGGCAACTAATTAGTTTATAATTTTTGTGTTGGATTGCGTGTAAATAACCCTTTTTTGTTGTCGTTGTTGTTGTATGTTCGTTTTTTTTGTTTGTTTCCCCCCAGCAATCCAGGTTTTGTCAAAGTCCCCTAGTTAGTTTCGTTTGGTGGCATACAGTAAGTCTACTTTGGGCGGTAATAGTGCTCTACAACCAACAGATGGCAGTATAGCCTCATCCTGGCTGTCTGATAACACTGAATTTACAAAACTGTGATATGAGTCATAACACATCCCAATCAGCTTGTAAAATAGTATTTAAATGTAAAAGATGCCAACTAAAATTTGTAACACAAATTTGTCACTGACAGATATTTAGAAACATTTTCAAAAACAGGCAATAGGATCTAGATGTTATTTTTGTTATTAACATTTCTCTTTCAGTTAAATAAATAAATACATACATAAACAAATACATAAATAGAAGCTTCTAAAATACACTTTCTGGACTCTTATTTGTATCTAGCTCAAGGCTTTCCTCTCACAGTCAACTGAAACAAGTTTAAAAGTTAAAATCTCTACTCTCTCTTCTGTAAGACCTGAATGCATAAATCTAATAATTACCATTCCTCCAATTACATAAAAGTACATGGTTACAAGGTGTGCCTTGTGAGATTTGGACTGTTATTAGTTCTTTGATCTCCTGTCACCTTTTGCCGTTTAAGTTCAATAACAGCTCCTTAACATCATTAGCCTTTATTCACCCAATTATGAGGGTCAGAGAAGGAGCGTCTGTCTGAGGACTGGTACAGTAGTACTGCTTCATGTGCAAGCACAGAGCCCTAAATAAATGATTATTATTATATAGTCCTGGCTCAACACAAAACTCCATCAATTACCTCCCTCACCACACAGAAAGAAACACAGAGCATGGAATTCACAATCAGTGCAGGTGCGACTAAAACATACAGTTTTGTACCTAAATTCGAATATAAGCACAAAACTAATCATGCAAACCATGCCCCCCTTCTGACCGTCCTTCGTGAAATATTGAATTAAGCTCCTCCTCTACAATCTTTCCATCTGTATGTACTACAACACATCCCTGGAAAATTAAGCAAATACACACACACACACACAGACAAGAGAGAGAGAGAGAGAGGGAGAGAGAGATCGACTATGCTTCACTGATTCTGTATGCAGTGTTGTTACAGAAATCGAAGTTTTCTTGAGGATGGTACGCTATTTCTGCTCTTGGTTTTAGGGAGTAATGACGTTAGTGGAGAACTGTGAGTGGTTTGTGAACTCAGCTTCCAGGATCAGTTAAAAAATGGAGCTCTGGTAAAAAATGACATGATCAAAACTGACTTCCACAAGAATGGCATCCACATAATGAAAGCAATAAACCTTTCTCACATACTGTGACGGCATGTTTCCACAGTTATTAACATGGTAAATCTAACTATTTTTAAAAAATGCAATGTACATTTATAAAAGTACAATTTGTGTTGTATTAACTTGGCATTACAGAAAACAAGTTTTTAATTCAACGAGAGTGAAGGCAAATTTGCCAGAAATGTGAAAAGAGTCTATTGTGGGATAGAAATGAAAATTTTGCTCACCTTAATGTCATTCCAAACCTTGTATAATTTTCTTTCTTTGGTAGAACACAAAAGATGATGTTACGTTTGTACTGGTTGATTTTTTTAATGCAATACAGTGAATGTGGACTGGAGCTTTTAAGCTTCAAAACAGACCCAAAACAGATGCAATCTCATGTTTTCGATGGCACAACCATTTCGATGGCGCAACAACTGTTGCCTAAAGATGCTAGGGCCACCAACATGGCACATGTTGGCAGCGTTATCATCATGTAACACTTGGCTTTAAAGGAATAGTGCACCAAAAATGAAAATGTACTCACCCTCAGGCCATCCAAGATGTAGATGAGTCTGTTTCTTCATCAGAACAGATTTGGTGAAATTTAGCGTTACATCACTTGCTCATTAATGGATTGCAGTGAATAGGTGCTGTCAGAATGAGAGTTCAAACAGCTAATAGAAACATCATAATCCACAAGTAATGTAAGTAATCCACAAGTTGAGTGTTGTAATAAACAAATCCATCATTAAGAGGTTTTTAGCCTAACAAATTGCTGCTTTCAGCTAAATAATGTGTCCTCTCCATAATATTGCATTCTCTGGTGAAAAAGTTGTCTCATCTGAATCAGGAGAGAAATATGCACAGATCAAGCATTGTTTATAATGAATGTGGACTGGAGCTTTTAAGCTTCAAAACAGACCCAAAAGAACTATAAGTACCATAAAAGTAATCCTTATAAATCATACCATTATTTGAGAGAAATTCAGAGTAGTCAGATCTGTACACAAATCATTCAGATCAGTTTTGACAGCTAATGTTTGACACAAATGTATGATTTGTTTGCTACCTACGACTAAAAATGAAATTTCTTTCATTATTTACTCATTTCATTCCAAAACTGTACGACTTTCATTCTTCTGTGGAACATACAAGAAAAGCCTCATTCATTTCATTACACTGAAAAGAGAAGACAGGAGACAACAAAGTCATACAGGTTTGGAATTTTCATTTTTGGACAAATGAGTATATAATATATGACTCTCTATTTATGTTTCTAGTAAATATACAAATACACAATTTAAGAATCCTATTATTTTTGTGTTTATTTCCACCTTGCACTTCAGACTCAAGTCAGGGAGAGCTCTCGACATGGTTTTGTTGGTGTGTGTGTATGTGTGTGCGTTGCTCATGGACACCAACAGTACTGTGTGGATCACTTTTCTTTTTCAGAAGATGAGTTATGACAGTCACAACCTAATATTAGAACAAGAAGCACTATGTGACACAGAGAAAAAGAGAGTGAGTTACTGAAAATGTCCTCAGCCCAGTGAGGTATGAAACACTGTGGTCTAAAAGCTGTCTGTCTCCTTCAGTTACATAACTATGTTGTGCGTTCGAGTGTTAGTGTTTGCGCACTACGTAACTTTAGCCCAAACACTTACAAATCTCTCTCTCTCTCTCGAAGCCCCCTGCCCTTGAACCTCACAGCATTGATTTTCATGTAGATTTCCTTATGCCAGCATCTTCATTGCTTACTTTTAGTCTTTCATAATTAATGATCATAAAACTGTGCTCTATTTTGCTCACAAGGGCGAAATTTTGATGCATTCACCGTTTCTGTTAAGGGCAGCAAAAATGTGCTGATGTAAGGGGGCACATGACGCAAAAGACCAATCATTGGAGAGTTTCAGGGAGCATTTCTACTGCAATATTCAAGTAACACAAACGGTTAGTTCCATAAAGGCTCTCAGGCAATTTTAAAATACTGATCGTGGTACAATAAAATTAAGCTTTATAAAAAGTATAATGTAAATATTCTTATTTAGCACAGCCTGATTTTAGATCAAATGTGAGAAAATCTAGACTGAAGGTCTCATATAATCATTCAGGAATACCAAACAGACCTTCAAACAGAATCTCTCCAAAGAACCCCCAAAATAATAAACACCAGAACAATGCAAATCACATGAGACCAGCAACCAGGAAAAAATTCACCACAGCGAGAGAGAAAGCAAGATTATGACAGAAAGAGCCCAGAGGAATTTCTCTTGGACATGGATGGTCAGAGCGGTGAAGAAAACCAGTGTGATTAAAGCACACATTCTCTCCTTTCCCAAGGGGAACATGAAGAAAACAATTACCTACGTGTGAATATGAGTGAAACAAGCAAAATGTTATGTCTGCTGCTCTTAATGTAAGATGAGCTCCAAAAACTTGGGATATTTCTGAGCTGGGTGGTGGAAAAGGCCTGCACAGTGGATTGTGCGTTTCTTAGAGTTGTTTATATAGTGTAGAGAGAAAATAAAAAAGAGGACAGAGAGGAAAAGAGAGAGTGAGGGGGGGAAGAGAGCAGCATCACATGGTTTCATTCAGGGGCATGCATGCGAGTCAGGATCTAGAAGATAGTGTCTATTTTTACTTCAGGTGACATCAGGTTTAACACTCTGTTTTGTCCAGCACACAAGGAAAAAAACAGATACATGCTGCATTGCCATTACCTTTCCCAATCCCAGCCTTTTGTGAGCCATGGAGACCATGAGATGCTGGAAGTTTCTTCAGGTATTGTTGTCCATGCATCCTGAATCACAATCTTACACTGTTTCCGATGGGGTAACCATTGCTCAAGCAAACTGTCACCTAAATATGCTTGATCCTAAATAAAAATAATATAGGTTTATGAACATGCCTGGGCCATCATGGACCATGTTGGAACAACACTTGGGTTTAAAGGAATAGTTCAACAAAATTAAAATGTACTCACCCATCACTTGCTCATCAACGGATCCTCTGCAGTGCAGGGGTGTCATCAGAATGAAAGTCCAAACAGCTGAAAAAAACATCACAATAATCCACAAGTAATGCAAGTAATCCACAAGCTGCATGTTTATAAAAAAAGAAATCCATCATTAAGAGGTTTTCAACTTAAACCATTGCTTTTGGCTAAAATATGTGTCCTCTCCATGCTTTCTCCAGCGAAAAAGTCATCTCATCTCAATCAGGAGAGAAATATGCACAAATCAAACACCATTTACAATTGAGAACAGTCCTAAATAAATATGTCAGTGGATTTGAGCAGACAACAGGAGATTGACTTTTTTTTAACTGGAGGAAGCATTATTATGGATTATGAACTTGTATTCTGGCCAGAAGTTAAACTTAAACTTTAAAATTAAAGGGGCCATATGATGTTGCTAAAAAGAACATTATTTTGTGTATTTGGTGCAATGAAATGTGTTTATGCGGTTTAAGGTAAAAAAAACACATTATTTTCCACATACTGTACATTATT